CGCTGCCTGCTGCGCAAGCCCAAGGATCCGAGTTCGATCCCCGGTACCGAAAAAAAAAAAACAGGCCCCACAGGGCAATGAGCTGGGGGGGGGGGTAACCTTTGAGCAGCCTGCAGTTCTAGAAAGAGTGGGCTAAAATGAGGAAACGGCAAGAACCAAACCCGGCAGGTGGGCAGCAAGGAGAAGGTGTAGAAGGTGGGGAAGGAGCACCTGGGAAGGTTAGGGCTCACCGGGCATGCAGGAGGAGCCTGGGCTTCAGCCTTCAAAAGGTTGGGGGATCACAAAAAGACTTAGCCAGGGAGCAGCGCTCGCACTGATACTGTGAACAAATCATTCCCAGAATGCTCAGCCCCATGGAGTCTCCAAACAGCTGGGACCCTGAGAGCCCTGAGAAGACAGACAACGGATGGCAGGGTGAAGGAAATGGGGAGAGGGGTGGCACGGAGACTCAGTTTACTCTTTTAAGCTCCTTGGAACTCTTAATATATGTGGGTGTTGCCTGCTGAAGAATTAACTTTTTGAAGACTCAACTCTTTTTTTTGGTACTGGGGATCGAACTCAGGACCTCACATTTTGCAGGCAGTCACTGTGCCACTGAGCTACATCCCTGGTCCAAGACTCAACTCTTTTTACAGGTTCCTCCAGTTGCTGTGTTGGGTAACAAGTGGAAGCAGGAGAACTGAGAAAAGACTGGCAATAATGCAGCCAAGAGGACAGATGGGACTGATGGAGGGCATCTGGCTGCAGTGGATTTGATGCAGCTGCTTAATTTCACAGTGGATTTCCAAGCTGGAGCCCAAATGACCTGTGCAGAGACAGTGGCAGAGGGAGGAAGGGAGATGCCTGTATAGGGGTTGCACTAACTGAATGAAAATGAAAATTGCCACTCGGGGGTTGTTATGAGACGAAGTCTCACTGCAGTTCAGGCTGGCCTTAAACTCACTATGTAGCCCAGGCTGGCCTCAAACCTAAATATTTCTGCTGCCTCAGCCTCCCAGAGTGCTAGGATTACTGCTGTGTCCCCTCATACCCGCCTTACACTTCTAAGACACTGACCCAACAGATAAGAGGTGTCTGGCTATGGAAACTGGTGTGTGGGTAGAGACCGCAGGAGATCACGAGGGATGTGTGTGTCGTGTGGATGGACGCTGCATTGCTCACGGCCAGGGAGAGACGGAAGTGTGGCCAGTGGGGTGGAGAGAGCTCCCCCGGCCAGGTCTATTTCCCTGCCCAAAAAAGTCTCCTGCCCAGCAGCTCCCCAGGGATAAGTGGAACCCAGCATTGTGCTCCTGACCCAGACTGCGGTTAGATGGGACAAGCACCCCAGGGCCCTCACATCCTCCCCAGATGCCCTTCACTTTGGGCAGCAGGGAGGAGAACAGACAGGAGATCCCCAGGCCCTCGCTTCTTCTTCCCGGTCCAGGCCTTCAGAGGCCCTGATGATGCCACCTAACTCTCATCGGTTCGTCTCTCCTGCCCACTGATGAACACCCTCACTGGTTTCCAATGCCCTCAGTTGTTGGTTTTGTTTTATGAGTTTTGTTTTGTCTTTTGGTTTTTTTGAGACAGGATCTCACCATGAAATTCAAGCTGGCCTCAACTCATGGTGATCCTCCTGCCTCAGCCTCCTAAATACTGGGATTACAGGCTTGCGCCACCACACCCAGCTCCCAGTGCCCTTGGAATTAATGAATCCAAACTCCTCACTATGGCCCAGCTGCCCTTCCAGATGAGCTCTTGATCTCTTCTCCCCCTTTCCTGCTCTCTGACTAAAGCCTCCTCTTCCTTCAGACCCCATCTGGGCACATGTGTGGGATGAATGCCCAGATTTATACACTCAGAGAGAAGTGTATCAGGACATTCCAGGGAGAGCAAAATGGAAACTCCTGCCAGAAGGTGAAATGAACAGTGACCCACGCATACTCATATTTATAGCAGCACAACTCATAACATCTAAACCTTAGAACTGGCCTATATGTCAGTGATGTCGAACCTTTTAGACCTCTCAGTGATCCAAAGAGCACACTGTGGCACACCTGCCATAGGTTTGCCACCACTGCTACAGTCAACAGATGAATGGATAAAGGAAATGTGGTATTTATACACAATAGAGTACTACTGTGGCATAAAGAAGGATAAGCTTAAGTCATCTGTAGGAAAATGGATGCACTTTAAGACTATGTTAAGTAAATTAGACACATGAGCTTGAATATTGGATGGTTTCTCTTATATGAGAAACACAGTGTAGAAATTAATCAAAGAGCAAAATGATAGATAGGAAACAGGGAGATCTTTTGCAAATGAAAAAAGGACCAAGAGATGGAGGGAAGAGGGGAAGGGAAAGGGACATGAAAAGAATCAAGATGTGTTGTGTACACGCGCCAGCTCTCCACAGCGAATGGAATCATACACTGCAAACACGTACTCCTAAAACATTTTTAAAAGGTGAAATGAAAATGCACGCTGAAATATCAGTAAAATTCCCTGAAGCCAGTGCCTCTCCCCAGTCTGCTGAGGTGAAAGGCACTCCTGGCTCTACCTGTAAATGCTGCTGGGGGCGGTGGCCACGAGGTGACTCGGCAGTCCCCATCTGCCAGGCTGCATGGTCTTAAGCGGGAGCTGCCCTCGCAAACCTGTCCACGCCAGGTGCTCTTAATCTAGCACATTAATCCACTGTCAAGCGAATGGAGCCCAAATTCAGGAGAGGTGTGCAAGGCAGCAAAGCAGCTCCGAAGGACTCCACAGAAAGGATTATCACCAGCGCCTAGGAGGGTCAGTCCTGGGTTCACCTTGTAAGACCCTTCAGGCTCCCACACCACTTAAAACTTTCGTAAGTGAGGTCACTCATCTGGTTTGTGGAGTTTATACAAGGAAATGATGTATGCTGACTCAGGCCAATACTGAAAGAAAAGGTCTCGGTTCTAGTAGATAAATATGTCTAGGTATGCTTCGTTAAAGTATTAACATTGCTGGGTGTGGTGGAGCACACCTGTGATCCCAGCTCTCAGGAGGCTCACTGTAGGGCCGGGGATTTAGCTCAGTAGTTTCGCTGCCTGCTGCGCAAGGACCTGAGTTTGATCCCCAGTACCAAAAAAATAAATACATTTTTAAAAAGGAGCCTCACTGTGAGTTCAAGGCCAACCTGGACTGCATCGTGAGACCCTGTCTCTTTTTTTTTTTTTTCCGGTACCAGGGATTGAACTTGGGTCCTTGCGCTTGCGCAGCAGGCGGCGAAACCACTGAGCTAAATCCCCGACCCTATGAGATCCTGTCTCAAAAAACCAAAAAAAAAAAGTGTTAAGATAGTCATGTGTGTCATTTGCCATATATTCCTAGCTCCCCAGCTGCCCCATGATCAACCCCACTATGGCTGAGTAGAACCTGCAATTCATTCTGGCCCATGAGCGCAAAGGAGATGTATGAATGCAGCCTGAAACATCTAATTGCTGGAAGGAGGCCAGCATGCTCTGTGCCTCTACTCTGTCACTTGGCAATGTTCAAGGTCTCTCAAGAGACTGCTGACGTTGGCGCTCCAGGCAGCATGAGAGAATCCACCCTGGCTGCTCCTAGCCACTGCTACCAGGGGTTGTTAGGCACGAACTCAGGCCATCCTGACAGCTTTTAGTCTTTTTTGCTCCATCTTGCTTATCCA